GGAGCATGGTATTTTGGGAAGACCTGCTAAGAGAGATGGCAAGATAAATATTGACACCATTATCTTGTACTAATTCCCTAACCCCCTTTCAGCAAAAGCTTTGTATATGGTTGTTTTTGTTTGTTTGTTTGTTTGTTTGTTTGTTTTTTGGGGGGTTGTGTTTTTGGTTTCAAGAAATGGAAGAATTTTTCAACACATAAAAATGCGTAGTGCTGATACTCAGAATTCTCCCTGAAGAGAAACAGCTTGCCAAGTAGCCATCGATATAAGAAAACACTATAAATCAATGCAGTAAAGGAAGGAACTTAATTTACAACTTCAAACAGGTTGGCCTTCCTTGAAATTTCTGGAAATCATTCAGGGGCACAGAAATCGATCTACTAAAAGCGAATAAAATGGATTCTTAATATTGGCAACTGTGTCCTTTTTTTTTAAAAGTTCTGAAGGAACAGCTCTCAGGGACAAGTTTATTAACCATTAAGGAATTACTTGATATTTAGTTTCCTTGCGAATTATTCAAGGAAAAGTGTCGATGGCCTTACGAGAAGATGAATTTTTTGTTGTGCCAAACATCACCTTCAAACCTGCAGTCTCTATTCTGTCAAAGATATGGAAATCAAAAACTAAATGAAATAGAGTTTCCTATGTAGGAGACAAGCATTGCATCATATTTTAGAGTGCTGCTTTACATTGAAGTGTCTCAACATGAAGTAGTGGGGATCTGAACACATTTGCATATTCCCCATTCTTGACAAAGGGTTGGCATTCTCAACAAGAATAACTGTGGCTGATGGCAATCTTCATCTGAGGAGATTTGTGCATGTTAGCAATACACCATCTTCTGTCAGCTCAAGAAGAGCATATGGGGCCTATTAGCTCACCAAATCTGCCACTGTTCTGCAAATTTTTATTAAGCAAGTGCAGTTCCTAATAGTCACTTGCGTTATCAAATGCGTATCAAATGCTATCAATAAGCCAGGGGATTATTTTCCCCCAGTGAGAATGCATTTGAAGTGTACAAGAAGGCCTGACAAAAGAATAAAACACTTTAAGTGATCGCTATATTAATATAAATGGATCCTACTGGGGAGCCAATATGTTTATGCACTTTAATGTTTGCCACTAATAAGTTCTCAAAGTGCCATCTTTTTCGTAGATTTTCTCCCCATAATTTCTTTATTTACGGTTTCTCTTCCATACAGTGAATGTGGTTGAAATGAAAAGGCAATGTGTGTTTATCAGCTCTTTTTAAAAAGGCACCGTTTATCTACTCTTTTTAAAAAGGTGCCATTGATTTTGACCAGTTCTAACGAGCTCAAAGAATAACTGGGAACGTAGGCGGGCAGGCTCTGTGTTTTCCAGAGAGGTCATCCTGGCCAGAGGGCAGACCCTGGAATTGGGAAACATCCAAACCCAAGAGTGGCCTCCTTATGAAGCACTTCCCAGTAATTAAATCCAGGGAGTCCATCAATCTGGAGATGAATTCTAGGAAGTGTGAGTTTAGTATAGACATCCCAAAGATCTCTCTGGAGGCACAAGTCCATAGCACCCTATAAGTATTTAATAATCATATATATATAATAAAATATAGAAATATGTTAATTAACCAGGATGCTATAACGGGTCAACCAGACAGGAGGAGGTTGCGCACACAGCATCAGGGACAGGACAGCAGAGGCCTCTATGTGCCTGCGTTGGGAGAGGGCCTGATTAGCAGCAGCCGTGACTGCTTCAAGGACTGGCGAGGGAGACAGGGCCAAACCTGTGGCTCAAGGTGGGCAGCGCTGCGCGATTTTGAATCACGCTCTGGGCTTTTAGTACTTACAATAAAAATGTCTGAATTTCATCTTCAGCAGGACTCAGCATTTCACTGGTATCTCTTCAATTACTGTAATATCCCTTTAAGGTGATCAAGAGCAAGTAGTATCGTTTCTTAGGTAAAACTGAAGGACAAGAAAGGGAAAATAATAGGCCCTGGAAACTTCAAAAAAAGAAAAGAAAGAAAGAACAATCTGTCATCAGAACTAGAACAAAAGACTTTGGCTCTTGCTCCATCAACACTCTCTTACATGATGCTTGTGGTACCTTAGCATTTTGGAATGAGAGACCTTTTCCACACCAGCCCTTGTAAATAAGGTCTTGGTTTGAAATGGCATACCTGTCATAATCACGTTGCTACTGTCCCAGTTGCCGTGCTATCTAAATATTATGCAGTGAAAAGACTAGACCCTAGCTCCAGCCTCAAGAAATAACTTTACAGTAGCTCTCAGGTAATGTGAGTTATAAAGGAAGTTGAGTATTAATTATAACTTGTTATTTAAAAATAAATTGTGATGGTGTGTTTAATTTGACCTCCTTATTTGCTACTGTTATTTAAATCACTTCCAAGCACTAAGCATGTGCATAAAGGAAGATTGTTCCCAATTTAACCTTTTAAATAAAATGTATTCTATTAATTAAGCCATTATAGTTCCCTTTCTTTTCTATTATATTTATTCATTTATCACCTGTCCTAAAGATAGATATCTGTATCGGTGAATATTTTAGAGAGAGACCCCTCATTTTTATGCCTATCACTCATTTGGATTTTCTACACTGTTTTTTTTTTAAAAAAGCTTATGTTACTGTTCTAAATAATTTCAAATTGTCAACTAAAACAATAAATTTCTTACTAAGAATAATAGACAGTATTCAGCTGAAAAATTAGGAAAGTACCATGTTTAACCTAATCGGACTGGGAAACTTGCAATAATACTAAAATTGGCTTAGAGTTAATGGGATAACTTATGTCTGTTTAAAAACAACAGACAAAACAAAATAATACAATCCTACCTTTCTATGAATCCGTTTTTCAGAATAACTGTACATAATAAGACCCTGTAGTCTGAGTATTATGTTTCCTTTGCCTTTCTTCACCTAAGCAATGAACTGGGACTGGGAGTAAAGTAGGAGGTCAAACCAGCTGTGAGTGTTGGATTATCCATAAGATATTGGTTAAAAAGCCCAGTCTGAAGCACAGTACACTATCAGTTATTTCTCCCTATATTCCTTTATAATCCCAGGCAATTTAAATCACTGAGAACACCACTACCACCAAATTCATAACCTTTGCCATCTCACAGTTCTCATTTAACAAAAGCTTTTGTTTGTTAAGAAATATGTAACCGGTACTGTACTAAGTGCTTTTGTACATATTTTTCATTTTATTCCCACAACACCCTATGTAGTGTTTTCATTTAATTTTTCACATGAGGAAACTAAAGTTAAAAGGGGCTTTGTGCCCTGGCTGGTTTGGCTCAGTGATAGAGCATAAGCCTGGGGACTGAAGGGTTCTGGGTTCAATTATGGTCAAGGGCACATACCTTGGTTTCAGGCTCAGTCCCCAGTAGGGGGCATGCAGGAGGCAGCCACTCAATGATTCTTATCTTTGATGTTTCAATCTCTCTCTCCCTCCTTCTTCCTCTCAAAAATCAATAAAAGCATGTTGTTGTTATTTAAGAAAAAGCCTTTGTAACTTTCCTGGTAAAGCTGAGATTCAACCCACACCTGTCTCAATAGTTATGTTATTCCATTTTTCTATTTAGTTTCTCATTAATAATAATTATAATAGCTAATATTTTGTAAGCACTTTCTATATGATCTCTAAGTACTTTGCACAAACCTACACATGTAATTTTACTTCAAACCTATGGAATAAGCCTCATTTTACATATGATGATATTGAGGCATCGAAAGTTAAATTGCATACAACTAGTAAATTTCCAAGTCAGAATTTTAACTCAGACTGATATCATGGTAATATCAGCCTCTTAGAATGAGTTGGGCAATATTCCTTCCTCTGAATTTTCTGAAATAAGAATTTATATAAAATTGATATTAGTTCTTCTTTAAATGTTTGGTAGATAGATTCACCAGTGAAGCTATCTGTCTAGAGTTTCCTTTAAGGGAGAGTTTTAACTAAAAATTCATTAAACAATTGAACTATAGGACTACTTAGCTTATCTATTTCTTCCTGTGTAAGCTTTGCTAATTTGTGTCTTTAAAATATGTATCTATTTCATTAGAGCTGGGTTAATCTGGAGTTATTTGTCTCTCCCACTACTGAAGCAAGGTTCCCCTTTATATCCTTATTGATGCCCCTGAATTACTAGGAAGTTTTTCACTATGTATGTTGGGAATAGTGCCTATTCTCAGCCCTGTGTGAACTTTGGACACTGTTCCCTTTCTACTTTGGGGTGATTATTTGCCAGGTCTTGGGTAGTTTTCTCACATGCATGCGATCCTCGGTATTTATATATATGAGGGGCGCCTCTCTATAGCTCTTTCTACAATTTTCTGCCCTGAAGACTCCATCTGCCTTGGTTTTCCTGGACACCCAGCTGCATGTCCTCAAGTTGGGATATCACTGGGCTTTGCCTGTGTTCCCATGCCTGTACCACAGCCTGGAAACCCTCCATGCAGGAAACTAGAGCAACAGTAGGATACATCTCACTTGTTTCCCATTTCTCAGGAGTCACTGGTCTCTGTTGTCTGATGTTTAACCTCTTTAATGTCATTGTTTTATATTTTGTTTATTTTAATATTTCTCAGGAGGATTATAAATCTGTTCACTTTTACTCTAGGTTTATCATATAAAGAAGCTCAATATTGAATGTTTATACACATTTCTATTGCTTTTAGTTTTATTACATATTATACATCTCTAGTCCATGGATTTAGGTTCTCTTTTTGCAAGCATAGAAACAATAACCCAGTTTAAAAAAAAAACTGAAAGTATTGAAAATTAAAAGAAAATTAGAATCCTAATAAATATTTCTTTCTTTCTAGCTATTCTTAACATATCTACTAATAGAAATGAGGTGCCCCAGGAGGGTGGGGAAATTTTTTTCTCAAATCCTTGCCAGTAAAAGATTTAACTTATTATGAATCTATATTAATATATTGTTAAAAATGGCTTATTTACAAGCAGGCTGATACTTGTCTCTTTTATTTATTCTCAGTGCCAGATGAAAGCAAAGTTCATTCATTGGCTGGACACAAATTGGGTAAGAAATTCCTTGTAACTGACTTCCTATTCTCCTTCCTGGAAATCACTGGCTTTGTTTGAGTAGCAGTTGGAACTTATTTCCACCAGTCACTGAAAGGTTTGGTAATTAATACATGAGATATCTTTGACTTCCACAAAGATGAATTATTGCTTGGCTGTGTATGTCGTGGCATAATGTATGCTGACTCAAAATGTTTGAGAGGAAAGAGTAAACGTTTCCAAAAAAAATGATTATAAAATCCAAAATCTTAAAAATGTATGCCAACTGAACACTTAGAAAAAAAAGTATATAAAAAAACCAACCCCCAGAAAGTTTGGAAAATTTTCCCATGATGACTTTCACATAAAGTGATTGGACAGAGAGTTCCAGAATAAGAAACTTTTGCTTATTTCTTTCTCATCAAGAAAGAATAGTCTTGCCCTGGCCGGTTGACTCAGTTGGATTGCTTGGTTGGTTGTTGGAGCATCGTCCCTACACCAAAAGGTGGCGCGTTCAATTCCCAGTCGGTGCATATGTGTAGGTCGTGGGTTTATAGGGTCATGGTAGATAGGGAAGGCAACTGATTGATGTTTCTCTTTTTCTTCCTTTCTCTCTAAAAAAGTACGCCTTGGGTGAGTGTTAAAACAAAAGTCTTTTTGCCTGTCATCAAAGTGGATTGTACCCATACACAGTGACTCCATTATCTTTCTTTAGGCTCATGAATGAGATTCCTAGAGGTTCTCTAGAAGGTCCACAGGATCTCTGAGTGTCCTGGGGCTTTCTCTCTCAAGTCTGAGAAACCTTCTGGTCTAAAATCCAAGCTTTTCCTCTATTGCCAAGTGTCCTGCTTTCTATCCCTTTGCCCTTCCTTCATCATTTATGCACAGTAATTGAAAACACTGCAGTTCTCTAGGGGTGCACTGTTGGGGTGAGAGAATATCCATTTTACTCCTAGAATTGCCATTCCAAACAACAGAACGGGTATAATTTGTTCATATCCCTCTGTTTCTGAAACAATGAAGTCTTTCCCACCACCAGCGTCTCCTGTGTTTATGTGCCAATTATGTTTTCAGCAGTAAGTGGCCTTGATGCCTCATTACCTCCATCATGTTCCAGGGCTCAGTTATGATTTTTTTCTTTTATTCTTTCTCCAGATTCTCTAGTGAAAACAGCAGGGAAGGGCTGGTTCACAACTTTTAGGTTTTTTTTTTTTTTCTTTTTTTTTTTTGTTTTTTTTTTGCTTCTCCTAAGAAAGAGCCTTAGAGGTTAGATCACTGCAAAAGAAAAGACTTCTGTGGGGCTGAGCAATTGCCACAAGCTGCTCATTCCCGTCATCCTCCTCCATTAAATGCTCTACTACTGGGCATGCCTTTAGGAGTCTGAGAGGGAAGTTTTCATGATCAAGGGGCCCCAAGGATAGCCTATGTTATTGTCATGCTCAATGCATGGTAATGCTGGCCGTTAGTTCTCTTATATAGTAATACTTGAAGGTCAATGCCTTTTTACATACTGGGGTAGGCTACAAGATGAAAAGTGGAAACAGTTTTAAGAATGTTTATAAGTTTGGTTTTTTTAAAAAGTGCCAATAATAAACTTTCTGGGGGTTTGTTCCCCCGCAAGAAATCAAATCTTATTCAAATATTCAAATATTCTTAATTTCCAAACAAAATATTAATAGCTAGTAACTAAAAGTGATTGTCAGCCTTTAAAATGGAGAATATTACTACTTAGTATATTGCTGTAATACTAAGAGTAAATTTGCATGATAGGTCTTTATATATTTATAAAATGTTACAAAAATATCAAAGAAGAATTACTCTAAGTATAAAACTTATAATAGTCTTCCAAATTTTAAAAATAGCATAATTTTAAAGATGTCCGGTAGGTTAATTGTAAGCTCTACACGGTGGCTTTGCTAGCTGATGATAGAAATATACCAGAGATCTCTATATTACTCCCATGAGACTGTTTACATACATCCGTTGTTTGAAAGAAGATTTGGGGTTATAATAAACTCTCATCACAATATTCACTATCCTTATATTTTAACAACTTCTAAACCCTATCACAGCGCCTTTGGCTTTTTAATCAGCTGTCTGTGGAACCAGTGCCAATGCTGAAAAACATACTTGATAACTTTGGAGCAAAAGTGGCACATGGCAAAACACAATGAAGAGGGCTAAACAAGCCCCTGAAATTATACACTTCAGAGTTAAAGCGAAAGCACTCTGTAAAGCATTAGTGACAGTTTTGAAAAACCACAAAGAAGCATTAAAGAAAAATATACTACTAACATTTAAGTTTATATACTTCAAAAATATACCCTCGCCATGCTCTGTTTATTTCTTTTGGAAATTAGTCTTGAATTTAACAATCCTTGGGAACTCATCCTCATATAAAAGGCTGTGTTCTGCATTTTTTTCTGGCAATTTCTCATTAGGAGTAGGTGGTGGTGGTGAAAGAGGATTAAAGGTCCATTTAATTCTGGCAACCTCTTTTAGTTAAAAAATCATTTTTAAAAGCAACCTAATACAGAACTATAGTCTCAATCTGCCACAGTCAGTGACTACTATACTAGTTATCAGTTTGAATTGTAATGTACAGTGTTCCATGATCATACCTGTCTTACAAAGTCTAAAGGTTTCATTCAACTTCTTTTTGTTTCACCTTTCCCTGCTCCAGGTTCTTTCTCCGGAATATTTAGGTTTGAAAAAAGTGATTTCTCTTTTGCTAAGAAGAAAGAGCATATCCCTCTGTCTATTTTCAATTACAGAAATGTGGCCAGTTGTCATGCTATCCCAAGACCATAGTAAGTTAAATTCAGTCATATATGCTGACCTAGATCTATCACCCATCCTCTTATTCGGGATGATATGCAACATTTTTACAAATTCATCTGAGTTTAAATTTCTTCTGCGTCAGCTACTTAGTGTGTAGAGAGCCATTCCGTGCCAATTTCCATCTGTTGGTCTGGCTTGGATTCCTCCCAAACTTGTGACAATATTCTTGGCACCCTTTCCTTGGCTTAATCTTGAAATGGTTGATTCTTCAGAGCTCAGATCAAATTGAAAGCTCAGGTAAGATCATCTTTCTAGCACTTTGGGCCTAAAAGGTAGTGTTCCCCTCAGCTCTTCTGGAGTCAGTCCAATCTTCCTGAGACTCCCCTGAGGCCCCATCTCAGAGCCTCCCTTGGCTGCACATCCCAGCTCAGACCTTGGCGAGAAAGATGGCAGGATGGTTCTCCCTGTACCTGTGCAGGGTCCTCCTCCACGGGCCTGAAGTATTAATATCTGCAAAATGGAGAGGCCCACCCAGAGGAGTTAGGAGCAACATTTTCAAGAAAAATCACAAGTTTCAGAGAGCCTTGCCAAACAATGAGGCATCTTTGACCTCTTTTCCTAGCTATCTCACTAACTGAATTCTGGCAAAATTCAAATACTAGCAATGCAGGGGGAAAACAAAAGCTTCAGCATATATATATATATATATATATATATATATATATATATATATATATATATATTTGATAACAAAACCAGTTAAAATTGATTTATATTAAATATTTTAAGGGAACATTAGAATCCAGAGAAAATGGCATCAAATCTGGCATAACTGTTTAAAAAATATATATGCTTTAATGTTGACTATACCCACTCACAAACACTGTCCGCGAAGGAATCATTCTTTCCTCTTCCTTTCCACATGCTGAATTGACACCTAGACCAATAGTTTCATGTTCCTTAGCATTCAGACAGAAAGGACTTATAAATTTTACTTTTTTTACTGTGTCTTCATTTTTGTTGTTTTGATTTACTGCGTGGCGCTGTTTTAATATGTATTGACTGTCTGCAGAGATCTTTGCTGACCCAGCTCTTTAAGATGATGCAGTGCTGAAGAAAGCTAGAGAGTTCTTCTTTATGAGCTCTGACACATTAATTAGCGAAATGGACTAAAAAGCTTTCCGATTTCTATTTTAATTTCTTATATTCTCAAACACCTGTCTATAGAGCTGTAAAACAGGCTGGTCTGTAAAAGTAATGGTTGGCAGTAAGTCCAGACCTTTTCTGAGACAAGTGTATCAATTAATGAGCAAATACTCGTTAACAATCTGGGGGATGTCTCTACATGAGGTATGTTGCAGCCAATAATTGTGTTGATGTCTTAACGCATTTTACTGATGAAGAAGCTGAAGCTCAGGGCATTTAAGGACTTGTTTTCTCGGCTATTAACTAGTGGGATTAGGATGTGAATCCAGATACTACATGTTTTTGAGGCATTTCATTTTCCACCAGCATGGACCTAATACCTCACACTCCAGGGAATGGAGAAGAATATAAGAGTGAGACAAAGTTCTAATTGGAAGACATGATTCATGAATTAAGAGATCCCATACATTTTTATTTAACCTTTATAATCTCTGCCCCCCAAACAAGGAACACAATGGGTATAATTTCTCTTGCAAACTGCTGTGCTTCAGTGAGTGGGAAAAGGATATTTGATCATTCTTACCATTGTTTCCTGCATGTGTGTATACACATGTATATTTGTATGAATATGTGGGTTAAGTGGAAACATGTATGACAGAGAAAAATGCATATGACATGCAGGTATTATATATAAATTATAGCAAATGTGCATGTGATGTATATCCTCATGGCAAAGGTTGAGGTACAATATGCAAGGTGCTAATCTGGCAGACCTTTCATTCTGTTCTAAATGCATCGTGTGTAAACTTCAAATCTAGATGTCCATATGCAGCCAAAGGAACTTCTGAATCATTGCAAGGGAATAGAGCTCTTAAAAACATGAGGTGATTGGGTAGTCACTTGCATACAAGAGCAATGAGTTATTAAATGGCATTTCATAAATTTTGTTGAGTCTTAGTATTTCATATTTTATTGAATGTCTAAATTAAAATATGCATTTAACTTTTGAAACACCATCCATGATCATTTTTCATACTGGAGTCTTCTAATATTGGATTGCTGTTTTTCGTGACTTTTTATTATTGTTGTTGA